GCCATGAAGGTTTCAGTCACCGCCGTCTCCTAAGACGGTTGTGCTGCTGCATCCCGTGGCATTAAACTGGGATGCCGAAGCCCAATTCTCAGAAATTGCTGCCAAGCTGAGCGGAGCGTGCCAGTCTGAAAGCACAGCGTGGTGTGTCCAGACTTGAAATGAAGCGGGCAGGGGGTAGTGGTTTTAAAGCTCATTTTGGACAGCAGGATAAACCAGAGAGGTACGCGGCCATATTTCATCTCTGCTCTGATATTTTCTTCTTCTGTTGCGGCGAAGAGAAGAGGTTTGCAGGGAACGAATGGAAGAGAGAGTGGAGGCTCCACGGGGCTCTGCGTACGTCCACGGCGCCCTTTGCTGTGTCACCTAATTAATGAGTGCAGCTGGGTGAGGAGCCAGAGAGGTATTTGCGATGCAGCTTTTCTTTCCCCAAGACTTACGTATCAATCACCTACAGAAAGAGGGGAAGCAATTTTAAGTCTTTTTACGAAGCAAGCTGAGTGATTAACTCAATCACCCTACAGAAAGCCTGAACTTTGGGTTGGGTTGGGGGTTGTTTCTCCTTACCCAAGTTAAAGGTGGGGTTTGGGGCAATTCTTGGATGGGTTACACGTCACTGGTTGGGAGTAAAATCATCTGTTGGTATTGTGGAAGCACAAGCACTTGCTTTTCCCCCCCCCCCCATTAATTGGAAGTGGGGGAGAGCGGTGTACAAATGAGCCAGAACTCTAAGGCTAGCACAGCTTGCCACGTGGGGAAAAAAAAAAAAAAAAAAAAACAATTTACAGAAGTTTTTACATTTTTCCTTGAGAGTTTTGCTTTCTGAACTAATTGAGCAGCAACAAAGCAGGGGATCGAGTGACAAAATGAGAATTTGGGGACATTTTCAGAGGCATAAGGTAAAGTAGGCAGCGGGATCTTTTTGTAAGATGACTGGCGGGACGTGCTGATGAGGTTATGGGCTGGTGGTGGTGCTTCAGGACCCGGGTGTCACCATCAGTTAGAGGTGGGCTGAGCTCCCAGCCTTCCCCGTTGCAGGGGTGGCCGTGAAGAGCAACACCTCCCCGAACTCTGTCTGCAACACCGGTAGTCCCAACACCCTCGGTCGCATGATTCTGCAACCCTATGGCCAAGAACGAGGACAGGCCCATGATGCCCTTGGAGGGCTGTTTCCTCCTCGGTAGCTCCAGAGACTCGGTGACAAGCTCTGCACTAGGAATGTCTTCGGGGAAGTAAGATCTGCCCCCGAACAAAAGAGCAAGATCCAACATCGAGATGCACGGTCAGACCCCTCCTTCCCCCTCTGCTTCTCGGTGTTCCTGGGTCCCCACTCAGACCTGCTCGTGCATCTCTCAGAAGCCACATCTGCAGGGAATTTAGACAAAAAAAAAAAAAAAAAAACAACACAAAACACTGCCAAAAATGCTTCTGGACACTCTGGCTTTAACAAGGTGTCATGGTTTGGGCCTGGTCAGCAGCCAACCACCATGCAGCGGCTCTCTCTCCCTTCCCCTCCAGCAATGAGAAGGGACAGAGAGCCAGGCTTGGGGTTCGAGATAGGACTGGGATGGGGAAAAAATCCCCCTTTTATGATCACAAGCAAAAGGCAGACTCGTTAGGGGAAGAAAAAAAAGAACATACATTTACTACAGACACTAACAACACATAACAGAGTAAGACAGTGAGAAGCATTGCCACATCTTAAGAACACCTTCCCCCCATCCCTCCCTTCTTCCCGGGCTCAGCTCTGCTCCCGATATCTCTACCTCCTCCCCCAGTGGTGCAGGGGCAGGGAATGGGGGGTGCAGGCAGTGCTGCCACTTCCCTTATCTTCAGTGGGGGGAGATTCTGGAACTTCTTCCCCCTGCTCCATCGTGGTCCCCCTCTCACAGGAGACAGTCCTCCACAAACCCTCTCCAATGTGAGTCCCTCCCACGGGCCGCAGCGTTCCCCACACTGCTCCGTCATGGGTCACTAACTTCCTCCGACTGGATTCCCTCCCATGGCTGCAGCCCTTCCCGAGCTGCTCCGGCGTGGGACTCCCCCGCATGCTGCAATCCTCCCAGCACTGAATTACAGCAGCGGGGCTGCCTTTTCCCATGAGACCCCGGCCTTCTTCAGGCACAGCACCTTGATTATGTCAAGCAGAAGCCACAGGCCATAAATCAGTGTCTGCTCCACCGCAGATCTCCATGGGTGGCAGGGGGGAGCTGCCCTGCCATCTCACCACAGGGTACAGGGGGGTCTCTGCTCCGGCACACCTCCCCCCTCCTTTCTTCCTCCGTTCCTCCACTGACCTTGGTGTTCACGCAGCTGCAGCAACTCCTCCTCATAAGTCCGACTGCCCGTCACGACGTCCCTTCTTAAATACGTTATCGCAGAGGCGCAGCCGATTGGCTCAATTTCCCAAACAGAAGTGGAGCTGACGTGGAGCTGGGGGAGCTTCGAGAAGCTTCTCACAGGGGGCCGCCCCGATAGCCCCCTCCCCTGCCACCAAAAAACTCCACCACTCACTCAACCCCAGGACACAAGGAAGATAACCTGCTCCTCGTTATTGCCCTGCCACCAGTGAGAAGCCCAGGTGCAGGTCTGCATGCACACAGCCTGCACCAGTGAGCTGGTTCAGATCTCACCCCATCAGCGGTGCTCGAGAGGGTGGGATTTAATGTCTGCTGGTCCTCACGCCGACCCCTAAATTCAGTTTGGAAGCAGAGCGGGGAGGTCTGGGTTGCGACGGCTGGTCATGAGGCATCGTCCTGATGGGGAATTAAAGCAGAGCACAAAGATAACTCTGGTGTCCACATTTCTCCAGCCGTCCCACCGGCAGAGCTCTGGCTGTTTTATCAGCTCTGCTTTCCAGTCCGCAGACACAATGTGCCTCCAACAGCGTGCCTGGCAGTGTTTCCATTGACACATTCCCCAGGATCCCTGCTCCTACCAGAAATCGTTTCCACTTCTCCTTAGAGAAAAAAAAAAAAAAAAAACCAAAAAAACAGCAGAAAACAAAAACCACTTTGAACATTTTTCATGTCAGAGCTAATTCTGCAGTGTTTCCCTTTGGCTAACATCCGCCGTTTCCACACTCGGCGCGGAAAGACAACATTTTAATAACCGAAGCGAGATGCATCCACCTCTATCAGCACATTAGCACCGTTTGCATGGAGATAACGGATGGTAAATGGTTGTTTCTGCTTTAAACGTCCCCTCGCAGCGGTTGTATATCAGCTGCAGGATTTTGCTTGTGCTGCGCTTGCAGTCGCGGAGCGTCGGGGGGTTTGTTGGTCCCCATCGGGTCCTGACCTCCAAACCTCCAGAGATGCCCCGGGATCTTCTCTGCCTTGGGGGGGCTACAGAGGTTGTAAGACCTTTTCTTTGGGAATTGGGGAAAAATCATTTCAGCTGCTCTTGCATCAGTGTTTGTCCATGTCTCTGGTTGGAGGAAGGAGTGGGGCTCAGTTTTGTTGTGGGCACAGCCAGTGCCCCCCAAAAAACAGATGCAGACCTGGAGATGTGATAGAAGTGAGGGTCAGGCAAAGCCCCTTCTAGGTATCAGTGGTGCTTCTGCTCCAAAATCTCCTTATTCTAAATTTAGGGTGATTTCCAGGCCTGCTTGAAGCCAGTTGCCAGGACCCAGAGCCAGGTTGTCCTAACCAGCCCCGTGCTTCACCTTGTATCCATCAAACCAGCACGTGGTCCCACCTCGAGTCCTTCAACGCCGGGTCCCCACTGGCACCCAGGGGCTGTCTGGGCTCTGGTGACTGTCCCCCTTCCAGCCCCACCAGCTTTTTGGGTGCTGACCTTGGGCCAGCGGCCGCCTGCCAACGAGCAGGGAAAATACATCAAACCTGCAACGTTTTCACAGCACGTTTGAGGTGCAACCGGCTGGAACTTCCCCAGGAAATTTTCTTTGTGTCGGCAAAATCCCAGCTGCTGAAACAGCCCGCGTACCGCAGGGAAGGAAACGGCTTTGATGAGGGTCCCAAGCCTGGCTCTAACCTTGGCCTTGCTCCCCTCTGCATCTTCAGCTGCTTCATGCATGCATGAAGACAAACATGGTTTCGGGGAGAAAAAAGTGCAATATTTCTGAGTTTGACCTTGAGCTCACTTTGTGTTTAGGAACAGGCTTAAATTTCACTCGCTATTTTTATATAAATTTTATATACATTTGTTTTCTAGATTTTTCTTCCACCCAAAATTGGCAAGAAAACATTCAATTTGCCTCTAATCAATTTTCCTGTGATTTCTTTTTTTCTCTTTTTTTTTTTTTTTTTTTTTTTTTTTTTAAGTTGCCAAAAATAACTCACAGATGTTTGTGGCATGAACAGAAGTCTCCCCGGCTGGCATGAACCGCCCCTCCCTCCTCCTCCTCCTCCTCCTCCTCCTCCTCCTCCTCCTCCTCCTCCTCCTCCTCCTCCTCCTCCTCCTCCTCCTCCTCCTCCTCCTCCTCCTCCTCCTCCCGTGCCCTGCGGGAGGGTGCAGCACCAGCTGCCCCCAGTCATTCCCACCCACCCGGGTTACCCGGTGGCATCTCAGCATTAGTGGCTCCACGTGCCACTAATTGCGGGTGTAATTATTCCCATCCCTGCTACATCTTGCGATGCCTCCCTCCTCCTGCTCTGGCAACAGCTTTGAGCTAAATCTTCCCCAAATGATTCCCAAAGCTTTGCATGTGTCACCCCTGCGTGCAGCACAAGCAACCCCAGGTCTCGCGTGGGCCCGTGTCCCCTTCCCGGGTGACGCTGATGTCTCTCCATCTCAGCAGAGTTGTTTTTTCATCTGCTGCCTCTCCTTGCTGGTAGGTAGCAGATCAGAGCTGGGTTTCCAGCCAAGCACGGGGAGTCTGAGCCCCGCCGCTCTGCCAACACCCCCGAATCATCCCCAAAACATTCCCCCCCCCCATTTCTTCCAGTTGCCCTTAGTGTGGGACCAGTGAGCTTGGCAGACACACCAGCCTGGATGTGAGGTCCCGGGCAGCCTGGTGTCACAGACAGGAGGAAGGGGGATCAGGAAAATGCATGTGTGCTTTATTCATGGATATGTTTGAATATTGACATGTACAGAAGAGATAAGTACAGGTTATACCCCAGTAGTAAAGGCAGACATCAACCCATCTCCCCTACGTATACGCGTGCACACACGCACACTTTAGCATCACCCTGCTACCTATGGGGTTATTGCTCCAGCACCAGCTTCCCACCTCAGTGTCTCCCTCCCTGCTCACCCTCTTGCTTTGACAATGATGTGGTATTTGTACATACACAATATTTCACGAGCTTTCAGGACTTCCAGACCACTGGGAACGGTGCTGAGTAGCCGTAAAAATAGAGTTTGGTGGCTACAGAACGTTTGGCTGGTTCTTTTTTTTTTTTTTTCTTTTTTTTTTTTTTTTTTTTTTTTCTTTTTTCCCATGACTCTTCTTTGTGCTTATGAAAGTCCCCATGTATGGAGTAATTCCTAAAAAAACTGTCTCCCTTTCTCCCTCAGCTCGGTCAGTCTTTTGCCTTTACAAGCAGCTGCCAGGACTTTGGTGGTTAGTCAAGAGACTTAAAAATGAAGATCCGTGGTTCACTTCACAGAGTTCAACAGAGATGAAATTTCATCCAAAAAAATTACTGGCTTTTCACAAGGGAAAAGAAATGTCCTGTGCATACATGTGTTTGTGAGTGAGGAGGAATGTAATTGGGTTTTCTTCCTTCAAAAGGACTGCTCAAAAGCCATCTTTTTTTTACAAAGTTTGATTTGTGAATGGGTTTGGAAGGAGTATTGAGGTTAAATATTGGCAAAAAATGTGAAATGGTCAGGAAAAAGTCATGCAGGTTTGGGGATTATTTTTTGTTTTGTTTTGTTTTAATTCTATGTAATATGACTGCCCATCCCAAGCTCTTGGCTCTTTTTGGCTGGGTGAGAAGCTCATTGCTCTGTGCCTTACTCACTTCATTTTGAAGCATCCCCAGACCACGGGAAACCCCCGGGAGTGCAGGACCTGGCCTGGGACAGTGTTTGAAGGCCGCTGTATCCAAACCCACAGCACAGGACAATTGAAGGTCTCGTTGGCCTGTGATGCTTTGAGACAACTAACACCCTAAGGAGTCTTTAAAGCAAGATATAAATCCATGGGAGATGATGATGTCTCTCGCTGAAATTCTTAAAAATCATTTAAGATAAATCTGCCAGAAAGTGTAAACAGACCATTGGTCCTGCTGTGGGACATGGTAATGGACTAGGTAACCTCTGGATGTCTCCTCCATCCCCTCTAGTCTATGAGTAGGATTCTCCACATCTATTTTTCACAGCATACCAGTCCCAAGGGAGAGTTGAAGTGGGGTTGCCAGTCGTCCCGACCACCTAGAAAAAGTCTATCTCCGTGGGTCATCAATCAGAGAAGGAAATGGCAAAGTGGCATTTTGACATCACCGGCAGTGGGTTACGAGAGCCACAGGAGTGGAGCCAACCAGGGACTGCAGGAGTGGGTACTCCTCGAAGCAGCTGACACGTGAACGCCCATCCCATGCAGAGGCTCAGCCCGTGGAAGGTGAAAGGCTGGTGAAGACAGGTTTGCCGGGGCTGGGTGTGTAGAAGAGCAGGAGGTGACTACAGGACTTGAAAGGAAAGCGGCAGAAGAAGGCAATTCACAGCATGACCTCATGATGGTGAGGTAGTTCCTTGCCTTTGAAGGGCTGAGCATCAGGGTTTACTCCCGTTCTCACCTGTGGCTCAGAGGACACAAGTTTTGCAGAGTTGCAGCTAGTGGTTGTGTCACTGGGTCCGCAGATGGCTCCGTGGTCTCTCAGGGGACGCCGGTGTCCTGGATAAAGGGGAGATGTTCACAGCAACTCAGTGCACAGTCATGGCACTTTGAAGGGAGGTAAGGGACTTTCCTGCCTGTAGTGCTATCCCCCTGTTTGCTTTTCCAATCTGCAGGAGCCTCTTGGCAGTGAGGATCTCACACGCACGTTTCAGTTCAGGATGTGACCTGGATCTCTGCACGCAAGACTTGGATTTTTGCATGTTCCTTTGCACAGCCCTGGCTTAGGACAACCAGGTGCTACAGCCCTGAGGACCTCGAGGAGCAGAACTTTGGATAGGGCGCAGCCAGGAGGATTTCTGTGCATGTCTTACACAGCCACAAGTGTTCAACTGAAAACAAGAGTGGTTTCATATTGGACCAAAACCCAAGAAAGTTGCTACAGTTTCTCAGCAAATTCTGAAGCCATAAAGAGTGGAAGGTTTTCTGCAGGGAATGGGAATAAAAAGCATTGGACTTCTTTGAGTCAGCTGTTGCTAAGTCTTTCTAGGAATCCAAATGCTAAGGAAGTAACGATGTTCCTTGGAGGAGCACAAACCAAGGAATAAATGGGCTGCTGCAAAGCCCAGGCCTAAATACTCAGGAGGAATCTGGAGCTATTCCTGTGCCTCCCGTCGCAGTCAACCTGGGTAGGCATTTATCCCAGGGAACCTTCTCACCCTTCCTTACCATCTTCTTTCTTGGCTTGATCTAGCGAGGGGTTCAGCCCCCCAAGAAGGCACTGGGAGTCCTCAACTCACGTCCTTGAGGCAAGACCCCCAAATGCTCAGGTGGCCCAAGGTCACTCATCTGCCTCCCTGTGCCCCAAGAGACCAGAGAGACATTTGTCCTCACCCTCCAGCTGGGCTCTGGTTGCACCTCGGTCACTTCATCAGCATTTGCTTAAATGATTTCTCAGCTGAGTAAATAGGACTTGGCAGAAGGCAATGCCCTTCACGTGCTAGCTTGGACATAAGCGATTGCCTCTGCCAGCTCTTCGAAGGGAAGAACCATAGCAATCCACTCCCTACCCATGACATGCTTCATAACTTGGCCTTTTCACAAATTGACTGGATATTTTTGTCCCCAGGGTGGTATCTAGCAAACCTTTTCTATCCTACCTCTTCCTAGGAAAATTAATGAAATCCCCTGACTGAAGACCCTCCGCTTCTCTGCGAGACCAGAGGATGCACAGGGAGAGAACGGGTTGCGTTGGGTTCACACTGAGTCCTGCCCATGGTCTCACACATTCATCCCTCATGAAGAAAGGTTAGCTTGGGGTGGGACAACATTGGCCTCTGGTTGTTTGGATGCGACAAAAAAATCCCTACCCCAAACACTTTACGGGACCAGTGAATAGAGATGCTAGGGTTGGGACACAAAGAAAACCAGCTGTAAACAAAATGCAACACACGTGTTTCTTCCTGAACACCATCTACACATGACACATGTTTCTCTAAAAAGGAGGGCCCGAGTGGTAAGTGACAGCTTGGAGATGCATACTCGTTGCACGCTGGCCACGGGTTCAAGCGGGTGGATAATCCCACCAGCCAGTTTGTAGTGTGGTTACTTGGTCCAGCCCGGAGGTGCTTCAAGATCCTCTCTGGTGAACAAAAACCACTACCTTCTCCCTGGTGCTCTGGTTTCTTCCATCCAAACCAGGTGGGCTGCCTTCAGGTTGAGCAACCCTGGAGACAATCTAAGCTCCACATCGCTTGACATGTCCTGTCAAGAGCCCTGTAATGTCAGTCAGGGCTTCGGGAAACCTCCTGACAGCTCATCCATCAAAAGTCTTTCCCCTCTTGGCTGGGGCAGGCAAAAGCATTTCCTTCGCATCTCCTATTTCTTGGCTCAACCCTCTCCATCACCTATTCTGAGGCAATTTTCCGTAGCTCCAAAGCCATCCGCAGAGAACTGGAGAGACAACCACCAAGACGTGGGGCAGAAAGGTGGCCAGGACCAATAATGAGCCAGTTGTTGATGATTCTGATTGTATAAAATCAAATAAATTGGCAGACGGATGAGGAGGAGAAAGGGATGCCCACACACTCACGTCTCCTTCCCATCCCCTCCCTCCTCCCCGCCTCCCCCCCCCCGCCCCCCGAAAAAGTTACTGGTCTGGTTGTTTTGTAAAGAAACCAACACAAAGAGAGTCTCTGCCTGGCGTGTGCTCGCCCTGCTTCACATCACGAAGAGGTTCAGCACAGCAAGAGCGGGAAGAAGCCACATCTGCAGCGGAGAGGGTGCCCAGCGGGAGGGAGCTGCTGGGCTGGAGGTCCCTGATGACAGACGAGTGGAGCCCCGCAGGAGCCTCTCCTCTCCGGCCACCTGCAAGAGAAAAGAGGCAGCACGGGGTGAGGGGTGGGGTTGTTCCCCACCTTGGTCCCTCTGAGGATTTAGGGCCCCGGGGACCGTGCAGCTTTCCTATGCGTGTGCATGTGCAGAGGGAGCCAGAGCTGGTCTCAACAGCCCCGCTCTAGTCAGGAGATCAGCTCAGCTCCGTTGGAGATGGTGGGGAAGGTGGTGGTGGCACCGCGGCGCACAGCAGGGTCACCTCGTGAGCACAGCACGGGGTGTGCAGCCCACAGGTTTGGACGTTGGTTGGAGGTGCCTTTGTGTGACGTGGGTGCCTGGATGCCTGCTCAGGTCAGTGGAGATCCATGCAGCTCATGGAGCCACTGCTGGCCAGGGGCTGGACCTGGTGGCATCTTCAGGTGGAGATGGCCCATGGGGCTGGTAGACATTTCACCAGGCAGCAGCTGGGAGCCAGGTGGCTTGCTCCAAAATACAGTTCGTGTGTTTATGTGACTTATAGGCTGACAGAGTTGGGGGGGTTCAGCCTGGAGAAGAGAAGGCTCCGGGGAGCCCTTCGAGCGGCCTCCCAGGGCTTAAAGGGGGGGCAGGAGAGGTGGGGAGGGACTCTGAGTCAGGGGGTGGGGGTAGGACAAGGGGTGATGGTTTTAAACTGAAAGAGGCGAGATTTAGATGAGATGTAAGGCAGAAATTCTTCCCTGTGTGGGCGGTGAGGCGCTGGCCCAGGGTGCCCAGAGCAGCTGTGGCTGCCCCCTCCCTGGAAGGGTTCAAGGCCAGGTTGGACGGGGCTGGGAGCACCCTGGTCTGGGGGAAGGGGGCCCTGCCTGTGGTGACTGGGTGGGCTTTGAGGTCCCTTCCAACCCAAATATTCTGTGATTCTATGATAAGACTTTCACCCACCCTGGGTGTCTCCTCCTTGCAGACAATCTGCATCCTTCTCCTTTTACAGTGCATCATCTGTGACTGAAAATTTGCTTTACTAGAGACTTCTAATTGCATTGGTTGATATCTGAGATAATTAAGAGCCAAGGCTCTGCACTGCTATGAAGATGCGAAGCAGATGGACTAATTGGTCCACCGTAGCTTTCCTCCTCGGGTCCAGGGGCACTAACCTCATTAAAAATTGAACAGGATCTGGCTCTGAAGTTGAGTCCAAAGTCAAGACCCAACTCCCCAGTTTCTCTCGAAGTGTCAGCATGGACCACACTCCAGTAGTCTCACACCTCAGCAGAGGGATATGCACACCCCAGCTGTCTGGGCTGGACTGCCAGTGATGAGGGAGGTTCACAGCTTCTCCATCCCTTTCAAGATAAAGTTCTCAGGGCAAGGTCTGGACCTCAGGCCACTACTTATGTTGCACTAAGGTCTGGGGAGCACCGGCTAGAAGCAAATCTTCCAAATCTCCTGGGTGCAAAGTTTATGGCCTGATCAAAATATGTCTGTGCATGGCCAGAAATGCCCTGAAAAGCAGTGAGGGAAGTTGAAGCCACATTTATACACCTCCCAACTTGCTGCTCTGTGAAAACAGAGTGGAGGGAGGTGAATCGGGTGTTTTTTTCAGCAAAAGAAACAGAGAAGAGGCTTAAAAAAAAAAAAAGCCTGCGTGTGGAAGTTCTCTGAAGGTATTAGCTAGCCCAGTGCAAAGCCCACGCTCAGTCCTTGGAGCCTAGTTAACTGACAGCTTCTGTTACTTGAACATTCAGCAAATCAGGGTCACTGTTAATTATTCCATAAGAAAATAATTCAGTCTGAAAATTGCTCTGGTGGGTAGCAAATCGAGGTCATCGCTTTTCATTTAAAATTAAAATATTTAATGCCTACTACTGACATCATCAGTAAATGAATCTGTTATTTGTTTTAAAATAATTCAAATTTTTTATTTTGATACTAAGAATTTGCTGATGACTAGAACCTTTCATCTGAAATTTTCTGATGTTTAACAAACCTGAGTCAGTAAAACCTCTACGTCATGACCTCCAGGATCCTCACCTAACAAGCGAGGAACCTGTGTCCCAGGCAGCTGCAGTGCTTGTCTGAAGCCATGAGGCTGCCCTGCAGGAGGGTGAGGTGCCAAACCAGTGGTCCTGGCTCCCCTTCTACACTCCTGCCCATGGATTTCTCAGTACTTCTAAAAAAAAAAACCCGTATCTCTCTGTAGCACCCACGAAATAAAAGAGAAGATGACCAACAGGCAGGAAGGCAGAGTCAGGGATAGGAGCACAGAGCCCTGTGCTTGGTGTTGGGGAATGTCAGGATATGAAGAGGGTGAATCAGAGACTCCAGGAGGTGGAGGGGAGGTTGGATGTCAACACATAGCTGAAATGACACAGATGAAAGAGGGAGCTGAGGTGAGGAGGGCTGGAGGGCATGGAGGAGGTATAGACACGGCCAAGCATCTCTTAGGGCCAGATCAGCCCTCTCCTACCTTGGTGGGCTGGAGGTGCTCAAAGATGTTCTCTCTGAGGGTCACTGCGGCTCTGTTGGCATTTCGCTCCTGCTTGTACATCTGTGTGGTGGGGGGGATGGATGGGGCCGCAGCTGCATTCATGTAGGTCCCATTGCCGAAGGCCAGAATGGCGTTTTCTTTGTGCGGGAAAGAGATGGAGAAAAATGTTGTTAGGGCAATATTTCCAAGGAAAAACACACGCTTCCGTTCTCCAGCCTCCTTCGACTTCATCACCCAAATGCATGCCCAAGGTCTACAGACCTCCTTTGTTGAAAGCTCAAGGAGCTGGACATCTATAGACTCTCAAGGACCGGGGCATCTTTGCACCCTCATTCACAGGAGCCCCCCCCCCAACTTGCGGGTGATGCTGCTGGAGCAGCAATGTGCCGGGTGATACTTACGGAGACAGATATTGTCGGTGAAGAGATGCAGAAAGCTCTCACACTCTTCCTGCCGGTTGCCGCTGGCATTGCACGTGCACCAAGGAGCTATGCTGGAAGTTGAGTTGTCGATGTAGTTGGGTGTGATGGGGCTGCCTGCCGGGAAGGATGGAGAAGTGTTACCGCAAGGCTGGTACTTCAAGAAGGGATGATTTCCCACCTTGCTGCTCTCTTGGGTTGCTCTGATTACAGCCTCAGCTGAGATCCGTGATGGCAGCACAAGAAAACCCTTAAAGTGCTGGTGTTAGTCACAGGTCTGTTTTACTCCCAGGAAGGAGAAGAGGGGCAGTTGCAACCCTTTTGTTCTCCCCCCCACCACCAAAGCCTTCAGACAATTCAGATATGTTACCAGTCCAAGGAATGGGCAGCTCCTGGGAACTCAGGTTCCCTAATAACATTCGAAAACTTTCTGTGAATGGGCATAGAGGTTTCCACACTGTCATCTAAACCCCCAAATTCAGTCTCTGGAATGGTCAGAGACAACAAGGGAAGGATTAAACTAGAATGAAATCTTGACCTTGTCAAGCTGTCAATCTATCCCATCCATCAGGATGGACCAAGCCCGATGGCGCTTCTCTTTGGACTCTGTATGTGCTTGTGGTACCTGCTGCCAGCTGCATTTCTGCAACATCTGAAAACCCAATTCGACATCCTCTGAAGTCACCGAGATGGCGGTGGATGGTGTTTTCCAGTGGCATCGCTGGTGATGGCACCAGGGAACCCCTGACAGAGCAGATGCCCTGGGAACACCCATCTATTTCCACATGAGAGAGAAGTTGGGATCTTGCAGCAAACCCGTGGAGCACCGGCTTTCCTCCTTTGGGTGCAGCTATCCTAAAATTACCCCATGCTCATGGCTTAGGCTCCTTCTCTAGCCCCTGCAGAAAACCCAACATCTCCCCAAGATCCCGGTCTCAGCTCTCCACCTTACTGTCCTCACACCTTTTCGCTGGCCAGCGCAAGAGGAGATGTTTCCCACCCCGAGGAGATATTTCTCACCCAGAGGGTGGGAGAGAGACGGGCTGAAGGATGCAGCCTCTCACCTATGATCCCCGTGTAGGCCAGCAGACAGGCAGCATAGCTGTCCCGCCGGCAGCCGCTCGCAGCCTGCGGGGACGGCTGGCAATTAAACTGGAACTCCGCGTAGCGTGACCTGGTGGAGCGAGGAGAGCACAAAATGGGAAGTATTAACACAGATATTCGGGACAAAAAGGGACGTAATAGCATACTGGTGGTGCTTACAGAAAGGAACGCGTTTGCAAAAGCCTTTGTTGCTGCAGGTGTTGCCAAAGCAGTTTGAATGAGTGTCATTTTATACTCTCCTGTCCTCTCCACCCCAACAAACGCCGAAGAGGGGTTTATTCCTTTGAGATGAGACATTAGTAGGTACTGAAGTTAATGTTTTACAGGTTTCCTCTGGGACTTCAAGACAGGTCCAGTCTTGGAAGAAATGTTTGTTTTCTGATGTGTGAAGCTGGTTTTCAAAGTAAGAGCTGTTGTAGACAGCTAGGGAATTCATTCTGTATTGCCATTATCTGACTCTTGGGTAATGACTTCCCCTAGAGACCTACGCCTTCATTTTGGGGCTGATTTGCTGGACGAGTGAATCATTCTGGTCCAGTTTTTCTCTCTTAAAATATTGTGCTTTAAATGTCAACAAGCTCGACTTCAGATTAAAGGAAATGCCCAAATACTCAGATATGAAATGCTCTAACCAGGGCTGCTGCCATGTCCTCTGATGCAGGGACCCATTCTTAGGAGATGGTTGGACTCTCTGTAGCCTGTGAAGCAAGAGGTGTATGACATAGAGCTCTGACCACAGACCTCTGTGCCTCAGTTCTCACATTGCCTAGGTCAACACACAAAAGCACATAGCACAAAGCAGCTTTGAGTCACACACTGAGTTTGTTGGGACTGTCTGGGCCATGCAGGGAAGTAGGTGCATCATTCAGACAGATTGCCAGATTGCTCTTTGCATGTGGCTTCCCTGCTAGCTTGGTTGGATAAACTCTGTAAATCATGCTGCCAACCAGATATTTGCCAACTAGCTCCGTAGAGATGAGTCAGTTGTTGGCACATAGGCATCTAGTGGTGTTTGGACATTGTAGGATATCTAAGACATCCACATGATGCTTGCAGGTAGGACCTAGGACCTACTGGAGATTCAGCTCCATCTAAACAGGCATCCTGTGGCCAGGTAAAAAGGCAACTCACGTGGCATTTGTGCTGCTTAGGAAACTCAAGCAAGCATTAGCCCTGCTGACATTTGAAGGCAGGGCCCTTTAGATGACAACCCGCGGTGTCTGATCTGTGAGCTGGGTACTTCAAATCTTTGCTCTGCTTGGGCAATCTCAGAAAAATTGAACATGTTGCTCTTCCGAGACAGCTTCTCTCTTCCAGACATTTTGTTGGCGCTCCTGGTCAGTGTCAGCACTCCAGCTTGTGCTTTTCTGCCCAATTTTCTCCTCTCCAGTCCTATTTTTTTCTCTTCTTTTTTCCCATGTTTGCCTCGTACCAACCCCATTCTCCTGTGCCATGGCCAGGCGAACTCTTCTTGCCCAAATTTTTGCTGCATTATTTAGGGGAGGGGAGGTACTGACTGCAGGTGTTCTGTTATTCCTGTTAGTAGAGCCCACTCCTCCAAGTTGGGAAATTCAAGGGGTTACAGCTGTAGAGAAACTGCAGGAGGACTAAGCAGTGCAGGCAGGGTTAGGCCTGGAGTATTTTACTCTATTTCTTTAAAATGCCATGATTTGTTACTGGCTGTCCTTGTGGTTTCTGCACTGCTAGCTTTGACCGGGTCACACATCAACCCTTTGCTCCCGCTTTGTCTCTAGAGGATGTATTATATTATATATTCAGAGACCAAGGAATCAGATAATTAACAGCTGTGCTGCTTTTAGGAAACGGTTTCCAGCCTCCTGGGAAGCAACGCTCTCCCCTTTGAACCTCTTCTTCCCTGCTGGGACCACTTGTCTTGCTAGGGAGAGGGCAGTACCTCTCTATTTTGGATTCCCTGGGCAGCTGAGGGAAATCTGAGCAAAAGCTGGTGTGGCTCAGGGCTTTTCATCTTTCAGAGCCAGCTTCAGATGTATAGCTCAGTTGTTCTCCTTCATCCCCATTTCTGGGGTGCAGAGGAGTAAAGGGTCTTAGTCCCAGTCCATCCGTCCAAGAGGATGCTGCTGCTCTCACCTCCCTTTGTGTAAAGACATAATCTTTTAATTGTAATTTAAAAATGGCATGCTGGTAGGGGATGGCTGCTGGAAGTTCAGCTCAAGAAGTCCCGAAGCCCACGATAATTAGAGACTGGGACAATACTGGGAGATGTGTCCCACAGTTGCTCTTGTGCTCTTCTCCAGGTGTCTGCTCATGGCCACAGCTGCACACAGGACGCTGGGCTGGGACTCCCACATTTGGTGCTGTAGGGCTGCTGTTATGGTTTTGAATCTCTTGTTGGCATGTGGGAACTGCTCCTGAGAGCTCTATGTGGATTAACCTCCTGGAGTATCAAAGACTTTCTGAGAAACAGAGGGGTGAAAATAGTACAGCTGAGGGAAAAAGCACTGAAGGGGTATGGCTGTGAGTGTGCACATTGGGATGTGTCTGTGCATGTGTACATGCTTGAGGTTTAAATGGAACCAAAGGAGCAAACCACCCTGGCCACGTACTACGTGATGGATCTGGAGTGAGAACTGCGACTCTGCGACTTCTATTTCAGTCACAACAACATCCAGGCTTGTGGCAGAAGGGTATATTTTTCATAGATGTGATTAATTTTTTCTAATTAAAAAAAAAAAAAAAAAAAAAAGGAAGCCATAGATTTCAGGTATCTACAAGTGCCTGTGACTGTTAGGATAGCTTGGGTGTTCCTGTGGGATGCTCTGACCTGGGGGAGATAGACAGTGAGGAGACAGATTAGTCAAAGTAGTTGCAAGCACCCAATCACATCCCTGCTTGGCTTGCACCTTCCTGGAACTATTTCCATAGCAGGTCTTTAGGACCGGAGCAAAAAACTTGTAGCAAAGGTCTAAAAAAACTCCAGTACAAGCATCTCAAACCTTCTCCTGTCTGTTAACACCTTCTGTATGGAGTGTGAGACAAGGACAGGGGCCATGGGAAGGAGCCACTCTGGCAATGGCCTATGTCGGTGGGTTGTGGTGGGATGGGTGCCTCCAGACGGGACCCCTCCACTGAGTGAGTTGACTCTGGTCGTGGGGTTGTCACTGGTGGATGAACCCTAGGCTTGTCCAAAGGACAACTCTCCATGTTGGCCACCCCGGTAGGCGAACGTTACCTGCAGACGTAGTTTTCCCGGCAGGAATCCAGAGGCGCCAGGCAGTTGGGCTTCTCCTTGGACTCGTAGGAGCAGGCAGGGACGATGGTCTGCCGCCGGCGTTCGGCACAGGCGGTGTCATCACAGGGGCAGAAGAGCAGCTCGTGGGTGTACTCGGGCGGCACGCGGTCGAAGAACTTGCGCAGAGCCTTGTGGCACTTGGAGCGGTTGCAGGTGTCGGCCCGGGCCAGGCGCCGGATGCAGAAGGAGACGTACTCCGTCCGCAGCCGCTGGCACATCTCGTCCACGTTGCAGGCTTTGGCGGCGTCCAGGCACCGGTTCACCTGGGTCACCTCGTTCTCAGACCCTGTGGGGTGGTGGGAGATGGTGATGGGGTTTTGCGCTGACCTCCCCGCCAGCAGCACTACCCTGTGCCAAGACCTTCATCCCCATCCTGCTCCCATCCGTGGCCACCTCAGTGAGACCTGCTCTGGGAAGGCATTGCCCAGGGTGAATTCCACATTTGCTCTGTGTCCCCTTTCCCTACTCACTTTTCCTAAGAGGTGCTACAGCCACACAACGAACCTCACACCCCAGAGTCAGTTCCACCAAGTTCCTACGTTTAATAAAATGAAGCTTTGCTCTACCTTGGGCATTTCACAACACTTTACCAATGTGACTTAACCAACTTGAGGCCTGGGAAGGCAGCAGTCATTAGAAAGTGCATCTACTTATGGCCGTGACTGGATCCACCAGTGTGATGACACCTCTTCTAACGGACTTTCTTTTCTCAAAACGTTGCTCAAGATCAAACACTGAGTCGGTGGCAAAGATGGGTCTCCTGATACATGGGTGGACTGCACTAACTTGTGCACCCCAGGCTCTCTACTCTGTGCAGTGAGTTTCCTCAGACCTCCAGAAGGTCAAGTCTGGCTTTGGCAGCAGCTGTGCAATGTTCAGCCCAGGACCCGTCCATCTATGTTAGAGCTGTCTGGGTCTCAAAGAACCACAGCTGTGCTCTGACTTCCCCCATCCAGACCAGTCCTGTCCGGTATTCCCACATCCGAAGCAGTGACAGTGTCTTCGTAGGATGGGGATCAGAGCTACGATCCAACCTGATGCCCCTGGGACCTTGATGCTGCCTACATGTGAGTGCATGTGGGTCTCTCCCCACACCTTTTGCAAGGTCACCCCTTAGCTGGCTTCAGTGAAATCACTCTGCATTTCCAGCCTCTCAAATAATAAGAAAAAGATAGTTCCAGATTAGCAGCCTGGGTGGGAGAGCAGGGTTGTGTTCTGGGTATGCAGGGAAGGTGGAGGAAAACTTGCAGCAGGGGGAACAATCAGGAAAATAAAGCAAAAGCTTTGATGGTTGGTGAGAAACACGCTGTCTTCAGTAGGCACATAGGGGTCTCACATGTTTATATGCCAATGACCTCCTCTGAAAATGTGGGGAATAGGTAAGAGGGAAAGGTATTTGTATAACACTGGTTTTGGGGCTCCTTCAAAGATGGATGGGGCAGTGTTTTATAGAAGGGAGAAATGCTGCAGAGTCCCTGATAGGAGCTGGACGAGACATGAGGCTCTGTCTGATCAGACAGATAAGATGAGGGTCCTCCAAGCATGAGAGGGAAAATGAATATGAAGCCGTTTTTCACCTCTCTGAATTAAGCTCATGACCTGAATCACACTTGAAGGACCTCCTCCCCAGCAGAGAAGGATTTTTTCCACAGAGGAATAATCCCCAGAATGATACATTTCCAATGCAGAGTCAAGCCCTATATTTGGCCAGGAGTTAAAACCAGCCAGTCACTGTTGACAAGTGTTAAAACATTGACAGTCTCCCTGAGCACTTCAAAACTGCCCTCCTTCATTTTCACTGACGTTATCAGATGGTCCTTCTCTGAGCATTTATTTTTCCTTTCCTGTTGTCCCCATTGCTTACAGTGAGCTGGAAGTCAAATTCCAAGTTTTGCAGTTATGTTATGATGGGTAAAGCTTTTGTTTGGTGTGTTCCCACCATATAGGTACTTCCCCTTAAAAATGCCCAGAGATTAATATTGTTAGAGTATGAATTTACACTGGGGAGCTGTGAGAAAACATGTAGGAAACAGTTACTTGGAGGGGTTTCATTACCCATTCAACTAATGAATCATATGGAACATGCTAGCTCTTTTCCTCTTCCCATGCAATGACAGAGCTTTGCTTTTTTAAAATCGACACTACAATTAGAGTGGAGGGATATAATTCCATCTGTGCAGTTTTAATAGTGGCCATATATCGTTTATGTAAAATTGGGTTAAAAATATCTGTTGCTCTGAGTTGACATATGGTCATGGGGTTGTCTCATGTTTCAACAAGTTCTTGGGAATTATTTCTTTTTGGTAGATTTGAAGGAGGGTCTTTTGGCAATGTTGATCGTATGATCCTGGGCACTGGACAGGCATGGGTTGGCAGGTCATAAGTTATGTTATAGAAGGTGTTGATCGGTATAAATAGTGAAAAAACGGTTAAACCAAGAAACTTCATGTCCCTAGATGGATTCTGAGTGCTTTGGTACACATCCCTGCTGCTCTGGGCCCATTCGCTTTGCTGCCAAACTGATTTTGGTCTGCTTTGAAAACCTGACCATGCATTAACCATGCATAAAAATCCCCATCCCTAGATTTTGCTGTGCTCTGAAAGAGCCCTGTAGGACTTCCAGTGAAAGGGCAAAAACTCTAGTAAAGAAGGCCATGACCCAGCAAACAGTTTTGTGCATGCTTCACTTTCCACGCTCAAATCAGTCAAGTGGAGTCAACAAGAAGATGTGAGATCACAGAGCAACCCCCTTTCCCCTTGCTGCTTAAACTGTTGAGGGTTGATGGTTTAATTTGCTCCTGGACATTTTCACCTAACAAGTGGCTCGCTATTGCGGGGACTGCAGACATACGTTGGCTGCAGGGACCTGCTGCTCCTTCCAGCTGTGGATGGATGGCACCCCAGAGTCTGGTGCACGTTTGGAAAGAGCTGCAATAAGATTGGAGGTTTGACACATCGGCCAGGGACACACGGGGAGCCCATAACCTGCTCCCAGATGGGTAGTTTGGTAACAAAAATCACCGGCGGTAAACCTTCCCCGTGGCCGTGGTGCTTAAGCAGAGTCAAACGCTGGTTGTGGTGGCAGCTGGGGTGTTGGTGATGGATGGCTTAATAGCTATTGCACTGACCTTTTAACTGCTGAGGCAGGGGTTCATGCCCTTGGGGGAGGAGGTTAAAAGGTGTTGGGCAGCTCTGCTCACATTATTAAACGGATTACATGATACAGAGCAGAACACGGGTCTGAGTCCTGAGGGTGCCCTCGGGGCATGGGGTTAAAGGCTGTGGCTGGGATCAGCCAGTAGGTTGGGTTATTGATGTTTCCGCCTGCAGAGTTTGACCTTGTGACTGACGTGGAAGCACATTCTCATACCTGACGGTACGCAAGCAGGCCCTGCTCGGCAGGGTGTCTGCATGGCACAGGTCATCCACCTGCTACGGAGAATCAGACCACCTGCAATGGCTCATCAGAAGAGACCTTCCTACCGTGTCCCTCAGTCCCAGCCCTTCACATTATGAACATGAAAAGCCAACGAATGAAATCTCAAGCGCTTCCTCCTATGACATGTTTTTCCACCAACAGTTTAGCACCGGAATCATAAGCATCTCCTTGGAAAAATGATTGCGAGATCTCAGCATTGCTTTCTGAAGACACCACAAAAGAACACAAAGGACTGCCTTGTCCATAGCGCTTAATCCCACAGCCAGTTCCCCCCTGTTTGAACCAGTCAGTGTAAGAGCATCTTCCCACTCACCTACCTGCAGTGATGGATGCCAGCCGGACGTAATCAAAGCCTCTGATGAATGGCTCGTAAGGGGAACTCTCCAGTACGTTCATGCCTGGGTTGAAAAGAGAAGTTAGTGAGAAGGCAGCTGAGGCTCCTGAGGGATGTTCAAGATGTACAAGGTTCAATAGACGTAATGCAGATTTGTTGGTAGGACTAAAGGCCATAAGTAAATGGTTACTCAGAGTCACAGGAACAGATGTGTGGGCATATCCTTAGAGAAGTGAATAGGATGTAACTGGCTTTTAAAAATATATCACAGATTTGGAGTAGGACAGCCTCTCAGGGAACTTTTGCGTTGCAATGCTCTTTGCTCAAGTCTTGGGCTCCTTTACAGGGATTGCCACTGAGGACACCAGACTGTATCACAGGCTCTTGCTCATGGGCAGAGTTCAAACCACCAGCTCCCGACATACATGGGGTTTTCATCACCATCCTTGCTCTTTTCTACATGTCCTTCCATGAGTCAATGGTCTTCACCTGTTTCTAGGACACAACCAGGGCTGAACACAGGGCTGTGTGAGTGGCAACACACTCACACCTTCATATTTATTAACAACTCTCCCCTTCTCCTTGCCAACAGCCCTTTCTTACTTGGCTTAGAGCTAATGACCCACAGCTCCCACAGAAACTTCCCCTCTTCATTTTTAAGTTGCTAGGAAGCTAATTTTATTCAATCGGTGCTTCCCTTTCATCCGCTCAATGGTCTGTAATGCCCCGTCATCCTGATGGATACCACAGAATATTATCGAAGCAAACAGCTCAGTATAATTATTTTTTTTTTATTAGACATTTAGATGGATATGGACAGCAGCAGCAGATGTACTGGCTGGGATAAAAGGACTATCAAACCTCATGCTCCGGGCATATGCTGATCACCAGCTGAGGTCAGGAAGAAATGGCTCCCAGGGTACACAGCCCTGTGCAATTACCACAGGTGCATTACAAGGCAGCTTTACACCTTCATTGAAATATCTTGCATCGTTACTGACTGGAGAGGGGCCCATTTGTATGTTCCAGCATAGCAGTTTTATGTCCTGATGATATAGCACCTTATCAGAGAATTGTTATCGGGTTGTCATCATGTTATTGTGTCTCCAAATGGGAAGGTGGCTAAACACAGGCGCGCTCAAGAGAAGCTGAGTAAATAGTATGCTTTGTAAATTCCCTGAGCACACACTTTCACAATTGATTTTATAAGAGGGCTTCTAGGAAGCTTTTTACAGCCTCCTGGGTATGTATGACTGAGAGACAAAGCTCTACACAGAGCATGTGGATTGGCTTCCTTTCGCAGTCAATTAAACATGTGTAAGGACTCTGAAACATGACTATTATGAAATATATTTCCTGGGGGAAATTAAGGTAAGGAAATCAAAGGTTTGGGAGGGTGAATCTGCATTGCAAGTGAACTCAGTGATTGAAAAAATGTGGGGCTCGGGACATGACAGCAGAGAAGTAGGGCAGAGTTTTGGCATTCTCTGATAACATCCCTCTCGCGGTCATCCCCAAGATGGAGATCCCAAGCTGATGGGAAGGAAGCTCATCCAACCTGGCCATCCAGCACCTATCTCCTGCTCCGCATCTGGAGACCCACGCCCGGACCCTGCCTGCTCCCAGCACCTCCTGCCATCCTCTCACTGCTCTTTCAGCAGTGGTCCCAGAGCTGGAAGACCTCCTGACACCGCTGTCCTGCACAGCCACGTTGCAGATGAACTGCATCCAAAGCTTCAGGCCGTGCAGTTCAGCCGGGAAGGAGTTGCAACACAGCTTGTTAAGGTGAGTGGAGAGGCTGGTTTGCCACCTCTTTGCCAGGCTTCACTTCAATGCAAACAAGTAATTATAGGAAAGATTGGATCCTGGAGGGTACTGAGGTCCATTATTTCCCCAGTCAGTTCATAGCATCATGCTCTGCACCCTGCAAGCTGTGGCACCTGAAAGCTTTCAGGGAACTCGATCAAGCAGTTCCCACTCTGGCAAGCCTGTGCATTATAGTCTCCATTCTCTTTGTTTTGCTTGACCTTTTGGCCTGTGTTATCACCCCTGCACTTCTCCTTTCAGCTTTCAGCCAGCAGTGTTTTATTAATCTATTTCACAGCCCATGCCTGGAAGGTTCTGTTTTATTCTCCGTTTTAATTTTCATGGTGCATAAAATACTCACCGGCCTGACAAGGAAGAGTTACAGCCACTGAGGTGCGCTTTTATGATGACTCTTAAAAAACGTCAAAATCCAAACTTACTAAATACTGGCTCTGGGAACACTTTAAATTCCAACTTGTTGTCACCAGCCCCAAATCTTCACTAACCCAAAGGCACTGGTGCATTTGAGAGCCTCCGAGAGAGTGATTTTTTTTTTTTTTTTTTTAAGTTCATGCTATATTTTCCCTCAGTGCTCATGCTTTGCATAGTGTTTCCATGAAATCCATGGCTTTCATGGTCTTGGCTAGCATACTTAGATGCAAAACATACCATGTATTTCCCCAGCAGAAGATCTCAAGGCATACTGGGAACATCATGAAAAAGAAGCCAGGTTAAAAAAATAAGGAAGGAGGTCTCTCAGGTTTTCAGGGTGGCTTTCCCTAAAATGCCATTGCCATGGGGATCAGTAGGTCCTAAGAGGGAATGGAATGCTACAGGAGTAACCTTTTTTGCAGCCACTCTCATTCTGGGAAGCTCTGCAGAAAACCCCGGCAGTAATTCCTTTTTAGGAAGATTATCAGGAAAGAGTACGCTGCTCGACTGACCTTCCATCAACGTGTGGTGGATGCTCCAGTAGACACTCAAGCAGTGCTTCTCCTTTTTCATGCCTCTCTTGCACTTGCAGCCATACAGCTGGCTGGAGAGCAGGGCCGTCACAGTGCTCCGGCACTGGTTTTTGGCATCGGGGCCCAGCTTGTTGGCTCCGTTGCCTGCGATGCATTGCCGGAGGGTCCTGAATTTGGCGCTGCAGACGGGGTCGTTGGTACAGGACTCGCCTGCTTGAAGGCAGTCCCTGCTTGAGCTGACAGCTTCCGCCATACCTTCTGCAAGAAAACCAAAGTGCTATGAGGGCGATGGAATGACCCCAGGTGGGAAATAAATTGCGTCTCCCATGAGCTGGACCAGGCTGGGACATCTATCTTCACTTAAAGAGATGGAAATCCCTCCCATCACCATCCACTCTACAAGCAACAACCCTCCTTCTGAAATAGTTAAGCGGCCAGATCCCTCCCCAGCAGGTCAACTGGAGGATTAAAATGCCCAGGTTTGCCACTGCTGCTCATGGATTGCCCACATGGTAGGGAGCACTGACTGCTCAAGTGTGCTGTAGCACTGCCCAGCAGCGTCGCAGAGGAACAGAATTGGGTGAAAGGAAGTTGGAGGGATGTTACGGAGACAAGACACAACTTGAGATTCAGCACCTCAACCCAACCCTCTCTCTCATATTGCTGGGCCACGAGCAGCAGTGAGATGCATGTGTTGTCTAGCTGAGGAGCCAGAAAGAGAGGTCACCCCTGTCCTGGAGACCAGGTTCTTCCTGATTTGAGAGAGTGACCCTGGACAGGGTCAGCCTGGAAGTAAGATTATATGTGGCAGAAACTCGATCAGTTCCTGGTGTTTTCTCTTTCCTGCTTGGAGTACAAAAATCTTTCCAAACCCTTTGCTCCCCCAGATCTCTATCTCATTTCTTCCCTCTGAAGTTAATAGCAGCCCAAAGCTATGGAGACCCCAGCCTCTCCTCCTTGCATAGGATTTAACTCTGTGTACGCCTCCTTGAAGCTATGAACAGCTTTATGTAGGGTGTTTTGACATGGAGTCAGCCCACATGTGTCCCAGGGGTTGGCCCTTGTTCACTGTCACCACCTCCCCAGGTCTCCTACTGTTTTGTCTTGTTTTTTTCCAAGCTTCTGTAAATTGTCCTCATAGTTACTTGTAAAAATACAAGGTGCTCTGTTCCTACTGCTGAAAGGATAGACAAAAGCACGGGAGGAAGACATTATTGCTCCATGAACACCGATAAATTAATTCAGCAGGACTCAGTGGTGCTGCTGTGCCTCCATAGCCTGGAGCAGACTATTTCCATGCTATTAAATGCATTTCCTCTCTGAAGCAGGTTGGCCACATCCAGACTGACTCCTGGGGATGTGCTCACCCCAAGGCTCATGGCTGCATCGCTGCACCCCAGCGATGGCAGTGCCAGAGGCTCAGCAGTGCTCAGCAGGACCTGGTGGCACCCAGGTGAAGGATAGGAGACAAGGGTCAGGACAAGGCAAATCACTCTCCTTCCAGTTGGTGTGATGCTCCGGAGCATGTTGACATAGGTCAGGCACAGCTGCACCATGGCTTGGGGGAATGATGAAGAGAGAAACCTGGTTTATGGAAGGAGAGAATCAGTCCCTGTGCCTATAACGTAATTTCAGATCCTGCTGTACTATAAAACCAGAAACTGCTGTCATGATCTTGAAGGAGGGCTTCTCAAATACTTCCCAAAGGAACTCCTTGTCCCTAAAATAACTTTTCTTCCCTTCAGATGGGAACCAAAGGGTAAGGACACCCTACCATTCATGGGGTAGATAAGGTGGGAGCACCTTCTGGTTTTTGAGCCCCTCCAGGGTCTGTTCCTGGTGAGACCCAACTCAGACAAAATTAGAAAATCCTCTCTCCTGAGAAAAATGTTTCCATCTCTGTTTCGTGAGATCTCCCCTCTCTCCAAGAGTCTATTAGTCTCTCCATAAAGTCTCTGATTCCTCCTTTCATTTGCGACCTCTCTTGCCCTGAATTTCTACACCAGCCTCTGCTGCCCTCCCAGTTCAGCACTTGAGCCCAGTATATCCATTTCTTTTCCCTCAGCAGTTGCAGGGTGCTCGCTAAGAAGGAGCTGCTTCTGTTGTTCTTGATTAGAGTAGAAGGTAGCAGCTGGAGTTCAGATATTTCAATTATGTTTATTACAAACTTTGGGTGAACCCACCAGGAGGTTTCCTCCTGAAACGTCCCAATGGTATCTCAAATGCAAAACCTTTCATCAAACTCCAGACAATTTCAAAGTGCCTCGTGGCCAACGTCAACCTTTCAGTTATTTCAAATTTCACAACACCTCAAATTTGAGTTCTCCTACCCCTGATTTATTCATAGAGCTGGTTTATTTAGCACTCAAGGCTTGTTTGGATCTGCCAAATGCGGAGAGAGAAATTATTTCCAACACATAGGAAACTCTGCCTTGGGCTGTCATATCTTGAAGAACTCAAAACACAAGGAACCGGTTTCCTTGAAATATCATTTGGTCTGCAATTTCACTGAGATCCATAAAATGAGCCGGAGCTGCTCATAGTCTCTGTTTTCAGACACCACTGAATTTTCCATGCACACATCTAAGCAGAATCCACAGGGGGGGAAAAAAAATAATAAAAAAAAGTGCCTGACTTATTTTGCCCTGGTTTTCTCCAAAGGATCGCCTCTGGATGAGGATAAAGTATGGCCAGTTTTATTCTAGAAGAGATGACTTTGTCAGTGTCATGTCATCTGCTAGAAAAATAGGTTAAAATAGAAATTATGACCCTCCTTCCCCCTCTCCGCTACATGAATTGCAGAAGATACTCCCCAGGATGGTTATAAACACAGCCAACCTGTAAAAGCTGTAAAACACTTTGGGATCCGGCTTTAAATAAATCAAGCAGATTGACCATTTGAGAAATTTTCCTGCAAAATTTTAAGTAAATATATCCTCAAGCTGAGACTTGCTTCATAGAACAAAGGCCAGGGGTGAATATTTACAGCCCAAGCCCAAAGCATAAAACACCCCCATTCAGACTTTATGACAAGGTGCTTCAAGTGAAGCGTCACGAATGACCCATTCCATAATCATGTCACTTAAAAACCAAATCATTCAGGGGTTTTTATTGTTAGCGATGTCTTTGCAACTGAGACAACATAACACCACGTTTTCCTCCACACACTACCCCTGAGAGAGTAATTTTATGCAACATTAAGAGAGCGTCTCTTAGGGAAAAAAAAAAAAAAAAAAAATCTGTGACTTATAAAATAGAGGGTGTTTCCTAGCAGGCAGGGACAAAAGCAAAATCAGGTCTTCTCTACCAAAGGTGGAGTGGCCTTTCTGGTTTTGCCTTACAAAACCAGCATCTTGTGGTCTCTCCACTATGGGATTTTCCTCCACCTCTGCCCCTGACTGATCAGGGAGCTCACGATGCTCACCCGGTTGTGCGTGGCTTGGGCTTTCCGTGCCTCTGCTTTTCTAATAGCAGACCTTCCAACTCCCTCTGCTCTCTTTAAAAGGCCATTTGTCTGGATTTTTATTCCTTGCTTGCTGCTAATTTCACGCTGTTTACGGTGGGCAGATGGAGTAATGAGTTTATTTTCACATCCTGTTTGTAGCTATGCTCCACATCTGTTTTTGCTCTTGCTTACCTCAGTGACACTTACATAAAGCTACTCCTAATGTGCAGGAGTAAGAGGAAAATCTGGCTCTTCCCATTGCTTTAACAGACCCTCGGTTCTTCTTATACAGGTGTCTCAATGTGCATTTTGTTGAACAAGGAGGTCTGACTCTCCTCCAAGGAGACCACTGGCTTCACTGAGGAAATGCAGCCGTGCCCAGGGTACAGAAGTGTGAAGGTGACCCCACGTGGTCTGGAAACGGTGAACAAAATTCCTGGGGAACACCAACATGGGGTCTTGCCACTCTGCCTTTCTGGTCCAACCAACGCTTGGGCTTCAGCTGTTTTAGGAAGAACCACCCTGTTTCTCAAGGTGCTGTTCCATGTTGGGCTTTGGGATATGCCCTCCTCCCCTCTAGTTTTCATATGTATTAGGGGTGAATCCTTTTACACCCCTGATTCACACACAGTCCTAGGGATTGATGAACACTGTTGTTATTTCCATGGCAAGCTGTTGACTCTAGAACATCTGGTGTTTGCTTTTACAATAGTTGCTGCTAAGAGGAAGATAACCACCCAAAATCTCCAACAAAGCAAGAGAAGTGGTTTATTGCCCCTTTAGATTAGTTGGACATCTTTTACATAATTCTAAATGAGTACTACTAGAGTGCAGAAGTCTCCTGCCTCTCACCCTCCTTGTGCTCAGGCTGGCTCTCCTTTGCTCATGCATCCTCCATGCTGTGGGATCCCTTTTGCTCTGCCAACTCATGTTCCTGCTGCTCTTCAGAGGTCTTCTGCTGACCAGACATATCACACGCAACGTGTCATGGTGTGTGAGAGGCTGTCCCTCTACAAGCCTGCAAAGGTGGATGGGTCTCTTCATGCCAGAGTCGGTGTTCCAGCCAGCACATACGCCATATAAAGAGCCGGGAGAGAACATTACAAAGTGTGCTTGCATCCTGTGTTAACAAGACAGACACCTGCAAAACCAGGTTCTAAATCTGAGGTGGGCACCAGACCATCTCTCTGTGTTCAGCTGGGAGAGATGGCCATCGCTGGGCAATCCAAAGAAGTTGGGTCAAATTAAATCTGCAGGACAGATATTGGTGATTGCTAATAGGCAACTACCTGATATCCAGAAACTTTCAACTTACCCAGAGCTGTCAGAAATAAGTTACTACACACAGTTGTCCTGGAGTGAAAAAAAAAAAGATGGAAACGGGAGTCTGGAAGAAATATTCCTATTATTTCCCAAATATTCATAAACTGATAATGATGCATGAATGGGGCCAGGTGGCTAATACAGGTGGTCACTGCTAAACCTTGTTTAGACTATATTTTCACATTATGGTTTTACAACCAAGTGTTCAGGATCACCTAAGGAACAAAGCCTTGTATACCGCTCAAACTTGATTTCCCTTTTACTGTTGAAATAACTGCAGAGCTGCCCCTTTAAACACCTCTGCCATTCCAACGGTCCTTCCCCAAAATTTGCTTGAGAACAGCCCTCCCATGAGATCCTACACACCTTGTTCAGAACTTATAGCTGTCACCTGGATTTTGTAGTGCCCAGCAATCCCCTTGGGGACCCTGTTCTACAGGCAAGGGAAAGTTTCCTTCCCTTCCGCCTGTCTTGCCCTGAGCTTAGTGCA